CCTTTTGAAATTGGAAGAAAAGGCTGAGACTTTTGATTAGCAGAACCTCAGGGTACGTTCTAATTCCCGCTCATCCTCGCAGTTGTATCCAAGCTCAAAAGCTCGTGCTGCAAACAAAAGAAGACGCAAAACTGTTCACTTATATGTTGGAGATTAGAGAATAAACGGAAAAGGAGGCGAGAGAGAGAGCGAAAGAGATATGTACCCAATCGGCTTCTTCCTGTGAATATTTCAGCTTCCGGTTCAGCTTCTTCCTCATTTACCATATCTGCGTCTGGATCAGTTTGCACAAGCAAATTCTCAGAACAAAACCCTGAGATAGTACACACCAAGACCCCACTATCTGGACAAAATATTACTTCCTTGCAGTTATCATCGCATACTGTTATAGGACCATCAAAAAGTAGGTTAGATTGGAAAATACAAGCAATAAAATTACATTTTTACAGCATTTCATTTCATACCATGAACATGCCCAGTGTCTTTGCATATGAACACGTCGTCGATCTGATGGTATGAACATTTTGTTCCCGAACAAACATGGCCAATTACAACCTTATCTGCAAGTCCCTTGCTTTTCTTCCATAGAGATACTTGTTCGAGTACAGTTTTGTCAAGAATTATCCGGTCATCCACCATCTGAACGTTGCAAGCAAGAACACGGGAATACATCAAATGATGATCGTTGTGCGAAAAGAAAACAACTGTGAAATGCAGATGTTACCTGGGACGGAAGAGGTGCTTGGCTTCGCTTTGCTGCTTGCATTTGAATGTAATACTCTTTAAAATCCATCGGACAATTTCTGACAAGTTCAATCATATCCTCCTCATCACGCTAAAATACGACAAGAGAAAGCAATATATGAATTTGACCTCTAATGGCAACTCACATGGTCTTAAACAATGTAATACTACTTGGCAACAAACAAATTCATACAAAAACGAAGTGAAAAAACTCACATCAATATAAAGCTTCTTCCACGCACATTCTCGTAACTTTCTAGTCGGAGGAGTTAGACCCCATCGGATACAGTACCTGCAAACAAAAGCAATCAAAAGTGTATTAGAATCGTTTTGAGTATAAAGAATTGACTTTGAAAACAAGATTATTAACCAAAATAGAGAATATGAGAAGAGACTTACAGGCGACGCCATAAGGATTCATCAGAAGCAGCAAAATTGAGAAATTTACACACCAAAGAGCATGATACAAGATCCTGTAATCACATTTCAAACAATTTAGATTAGAAGGAATCCTCAAAATCAAGAAAAACAATTACTAATGTTTCGATTGAGAAAGGAAATGAACAATACCTCAGAGGATAAGAACTTGAGGATATGACGAAATAGCTCTGTAGGAACTTGGCTGAAAACTCCACTCTCTATTCTCTGTCCACCATTTCTATCTTTGTTACCATCTTCCTTTTCATCTCCAACTTTCTCTACTTTGTCTTTCTCAATACGTTGTCGTTTTGCTTCAGGTTCTTGCGTTTCTTCTTCTTCCTCTACCTACCAAAAAAATAACCAAAAACATCAATGAAAACTTCAACCTTTTACAGTAAAACATGAACAAGACGTAAATTACAATTCAAAATCGAAAAAATCGAGGAAATATGAACCCTAATTTTCTGGTTTTTAAAATCTGGTATAATTATGCATGTAAGATCGACCAAACCCAAATTCGATGTCATAAAATTATAAAATAAGGACTATACACAAATCAAGGATGGATTACACGAAAAACATCAAATTTACAATCTAATTACAGATCAATGAATTTTAAGTGAAAAAACAAAAATTCCACCGAAATCGAAAAAAATTAGGCGAAACGAAAAATTGCGATATGATTTTCAAATTCAACGATAAAAGCCAAAAGATTTTGGGGAAAAAAAAGAAACCCTGAAGGAAATTGAAAAATTCAATAGATGAAGAGACGAAATACCGATGAGACTTCTGATTCGAGAAACCGAGCGAAACATTCGTCTTCTTCATCGGAAAGTGACATATTGTTCGGTCGGTGAAATCGGAGCTCCGGCGACGATGGTTGCCTTTTTTTGCGGCCAAGGAAAAGGGATAGAGAGAGCAGGAAGATTGGCGATTGGAATCGGTGGCGTGAGATTGGAGACGATAACGGGCCGAGTAATTCATTAATGGGCCGATTAATCTAAATTAATTAAGCGGGCTTTTCTTAATAATAATAATTAAGCCCAGTATAGCTCAAATCGTCAAAGTCAACGTCACTATAGTTAAACCAAATTAGTTTCTTGTTAAAATGTGATTATATCATGAAAACGACATATACTATATAGTAACTAAAATATTTCGTTTTTATACAGTAGTTTCTTCTTCTTAAAATAGGACATTTGTTATTCGGGTAAACAAGTGTGATTTTTCAAAAACAAAATTCATTTAATATAATCTTAAAAAGTATTTTAGTATTTTAAGGAAATATCATTAAGATATAGATTAATAGATCCTCTAAATCTGTCTAACATTTTCGACTGTAAACATTTTAATCTATTTTTGTGGAAATATATCAGAATGTCATTACTCTTTAAAATAAGTAGAATATATATTAAAAAAATATTTAACAAATGTAGTATTTATATGTTTTAATTTAATTTTTAATAAACTATAATCAAGAAAATAATCTGGCTAAAATGATTATTTTCGTCCTAAATTGTGTAGAAAATCATTGTTTCTGAAAAATAAATATTTTTGTAAGACTACTAAATAGAAGAAACGAGCCAACGACTACGAAAAAAAAATACAAAGAGGAGAATTTGGATTTTGAAGCAGAGAGATCATCGATCCAAAATTTCGCAGTCTACTGGGTTTTGTTCACTTTCT